TTGCCGATTTAAACATTATTATAGAACAGCATGGCAGCACATGCACAAGTTGTCATCGTAACATCCGGATGTGTGACGCGGAAAAGTCAATTCCTAGCTCCGACCACCTCCACCAGCCGAAAACCTGTCCATCATAAGCTCATTGGCTCGAGCTGCATGTAGACCGAGTCGAGTTCATGCAGGGAAATGTGTACCAGTTGAACAACCAACATTTCTATATCAACGACTCGAAACTAGCTTATCCTAAATCATGGGCATATCTTTCTGGCTCGCGTCGATCTTGGCGAGAATGGCGCTCATTAGATTCAACCTGAGACGAGGGCCAACCTGCACGAGCTGGTGTATCGTTGATTGCTGAAATCACACACAATACCGGACGGACATCGACCTTCATATGCTCATGACCTCAGGTTGGCTTCGCCAGTCGTGAAAAAGGCTTTTCTTTGCTTTGTTTACATGACCTATTTTGGGAGCTCATTATTGCGTTTTGTACACCTACCTCACATCCACACACACTCCAACCAAGAAGCTTGAGTTCCCCTACCAATGGTTCGGTCACAAGTATGGATTCAGTATATGGATGGATGTTACTTAGGGCACCTCGTATGTCAAAGTCGTTCAAACACATCTTCTAAATACATAAATAAATAAAATTTTAGCTAGTGTAACTGTAACATTCAATACGAGGTCATATTCAGTATGTGTGTCTCGCAAGGTATCCATTGGTGGTGGCAAAGCTACTAGCTGTGAATCATTCTCGAGAGTTGGCATAAACAATATCATTTAATGCCTATTACACAATGCGCAATCGCAACGCTCCATTATCGCTTGGCCACTCTGGTTGGAACTCTATCACCGTTATATCTCGGTTGCACAGGCGCCTTCCCGTTCCTACTGCTGCGCGGCATCTTTGATGAAGGAGGACTCTTCTTTTTGCTCTTATTCGTGAGCGTCAACAGTGTGCTCAGAGGCAAAAGCATAATCCTTAACAACGTTTTGAACGGGAGGAGGATCACGGCGGTGAGTGATTCCACCGTCCACACAAACATGTTCTTATGTGATGCACTATTCTTCGCGGCACTCGCAGCAAGAGCGATAGCATCATCCAGTCTCGCATCGACCCCTGAGAAGCGCGACTCTGTCTGAAATTGGAGAAGTGTCGCCTTCTTCTCGTAACGACGAACAGCCCTATTCAGCGCGTCCAATTCCGGTTGAATTGCGTTACGCACATCGCGTGCCACAACGCTGTCCTTCTGCTTTGCTTTGCTAATTTCCTGCTTTGTTTCTTCAGCAGACATGGTTTCTTCTGCTGCGAAACGTGACTCGAGTCGTTCCAGCCGCGCAAGTACGGATTCCAATTGTCCCAAATTCTCACTACCTTTCTGGAATCTGGATGGCCCTCCTTGTACTACCCGTTGTAGGTGAAGCGTCCTCGATTGAACCAGCTTTATCATGTGGGATAGAACCCGAAGCTCGGCTACGAGAAGGAAGATTGTCAAATTATAATTGGAAACAAGACCCTCGGAGGGGCGACTGAGCTGTGATCGGATGGCGTGCAAGAGGTATGCGCCGAGGAGTGGAAGAATGAAACACGAGGCTAGGGCGATTATTTCATAATAGTATAGTTCCGCAAGAGCTTCTTGTTGCTGGCCTGATGATTTCGTATCCTGCAATTCCTCAGTCGGTTCAGTCTGGATTTCTTGGTATTCCGGTACGTGATCAAGCGGCGAGTGAGGCGCTGGCATGTGGGTGCTCAAGTCGAAGTCGCTATCATCGTCGATAACAATATCGGCTATTGACTCGTGCTGTATCCGTACCTCCTGTGCTGAATGATACCATGCCCTGTCCAGAATAAGTACATGTTCTCGAAAGTTGCGACAGGGGAAAGCAAAGGATATGACCTTACCATGGCTGTGTCACAGACCAGTGAAGGAAAATGCCAGCCAAGCCCAACAACATAACATCCGTTACCACGGCGTTCCCGTTCTTGAATAGAACACCAGATATAGCCGGAAGAAGAGCAAAAGCCAATGACAACGATGCTAGGGAAGATGTTTCTCCAGGAGAAGAATGCTCAGTGCTGCTAGGATCTCGAAGCTGGGGATTAAGAAGATCTCGAGCTTCGCTAAGACTATACTCTGAGAAGTTTGAGCTGCGACGTGGAGGTATCGTGTCGAAAGCAGGCGGTGATATATGTTGACGCCGAGAAGCAGCATCCTCAGCGACCGAGACGGTCACGGCACGGCGGAGTCCATGGCCGAGGGGCAGGGCACTGAAGCTGGAGCTGGAGCTTGTCCCGGTAGCGGGTCTCCCGGTGGCGGACGACGCTGTATTGTCGTCCGTCATGGCCGAAGCTCAATTGCTGAAACCGCTATAACCGTTTGTGCAGGGCGGCGCTCAGTGTTGACGAAGGGCCGAGCTTAAACTATGTCCAAAATTAGGGAAAGAAAGGCGGCGCATTGGGCCAAGTCACGCGACAAAGCTCCCCGAGACGCGGAGAGTGAGGGGCCAAGGAAGACGAGGGAAGAGAAGGGCATCAGTCGAGGGAACGAGAACGGAGGTAGGTGATGAAAGCGTGCGTTGTGCAACACTTAGAGGCAGTTGGAATGTGGTGGCGATGAGCTCATCCAGAGAGTGTGACGATGTGAGTTGTCTTTATAGACGTCACTTACTACCTAAGAAGCTAAAGTGACCTACAGCATTGGAGAGTGAGACCGACAAGAGGGAAGCTCTTGGCTGTTTTCTGTGCAACCTCCAGCACTTTAGGTATACTGTAATTTAGCGCTGGTATTGGTACTGGTCCTGAAGTTGACGCTGGGCTGGCCATCGAATTTATTACATGGAATACGTGGAGGTTTTCTTTGGCCAGGTTCCCTCCGTTCAACTGGGAAAGCTGGCCAGTTGTAACTAAGGTAACTTATAATTGATGTGGCAGAATGGCTACCTAGGCTAGACTAGTGAGTGGCATGGCTTTGTTGTGATTTGACAAACATCTGGATACCTATGTCTTAATAAGCTAGGTCTTGTTGGGCCGTGTCGATCAGCATGCAAGGGAAGCGGGAGATCGAATTGAAATGTGCTTGAAGGTGTCATATTTGGTATGCTATGGGCAGCCTGCTCTACATAATGGAAGATCTTTTTGATCATGGTGCATGCATCTGGGCGTATTGGGAGAAACCCTTATGAATTATAAGGACCTTGTATGCCTGTGAGTGAAGGGCGGATCTTGTGCCATGTCTGATGTCAAGCTACGGAGTATAAGGATAACTAACGCAGGCTGAATTCATGTAGGTACCCAGCTGTGGATAACAAAAAAAATGCTCCGGAACGTCCAGTATCTCTATTGCTGGGATAATCACGGAATAGTTCCATATCAATTTGAGTGCTTTATGCAAGAGCCCATTCAGGCCCGGAAGTCGGTATGTCCGTTCAGGAGTTCTGTCTAGAACCGGGAGACGATAGAATCGAGGCCGTCCGTCTCTTCAGCAATGTGACGTCAACGTTCAGCTGATGTCAATAATGTCGGGTAGTTCCAGAGATTCAGGGGTGCAGAAGATCAACTCCATCACAAGAGTTCACGTGCAGCACGTCTTTACGATAACAACCCATACACTATCATGCAAGCGAGGCTGACTAGGGTAGTAAATCTTTCTTCCGTCGTAACGATCTCGAAAATGTGCAAGGGCAACTAAATTCGAGACGTTCGTCCCAACTTGAGACAGGGGCTATCTCAGGTGGAATGACTCCGACAACTACAAGAAACCTGACATGTTGTCATGCTCTTTGGTCAAGTAACTGCAATAATTGCTTCCAAGATCTACAAATTCTCTCAAGATTATGTATATGCAAGTATAGGACGATGAGGAAAGCAGAAAACGGCCTCGCAGTTGAGGACATCGCTACTCTGTACATTACATGGATATTCAACCAGCCATGAACTATGTATGTACGAAGATGCCTCGTAACTCAGCTCAAAGCCAAACATCAATTCCCTGGACAAGGATTCCCAACGCCCGCACAAATTGACGCCCAGTATGTCGTCACCCAAGAGACTGCGTAAACCCCCTGTAATGAAGCCGTCTCCTGTCAAAGAAAAAAAGACCTTTTCAGGGGATGGAGACTAGTTTGCTGGGGCCCAGAAGCTCGGGAGCCCCTGGTTCCAGGTTTTGAAGATTCAAGATGAAGATTTGATGACGAGAACAGAGCGCCAGGTACCAATTAGCACACACCCTGCATGCTTCAACGACTTACTGGATGTCAGAGATAGCCCAGATAGGAAAGGGAAAAAGAAACTGGAGAGGTTTAGGCTCCTGTTTTTTGCATGGCCAGAGGTCTCGATGTACTCTTTAAAGTAAATCTGGCTTTGAGTGATGAGACTCGCTTACAATAAAGCAGCTGTCTTCCCCCGGGTCTCGCTCGTTCACCCGTTGCTTGAAGACACCGTTACAGAATAAAAGAGCCTCATCTATCGACATCATCAGAACCATTCAAGAACTTAATCAAGGAGCCCTGTTGTAAGCTAACAGCACAACTACCGTCCGTTATATGAGGCTAATTCATCTAAGGCTTCAAGCGAGCGCAAATCTCCGCCTGTTGACCAAGAATTCCAATCCTTGGACCGTCCGGTGATACCGGCCAGGGAAGAGAAGAAAAAGAAAAAGGAAACACGATCAACGTTATAAAGATCAAAGGGCTTGCGAAGCCTTCTTTTTCACCCTTTCATTAGGCCTCTCCTGGTTTGCTCAAGTACGACGAGCAGCCGTCGACTTCGAGGGTCAACCGTCCAATAGTGTTTCGACAACTAGTCGCAAACTCCGGCAGCCCTACTGATAACCCGTCCATCTCTAACAAAAGTCTCCTGCAAGATTTTGTAAGATTCAAATCCTTTCCAACTGAAAACATCCACATATCGAGCAAGGCGAGCTGAGAGAACTCAAAATCACTTTCGTCTAAGGTAGGTAGGGGATCTCCTCCACTTAGGCTGCGGTTCAGCACTGAGGATGCTGGCTTCCAGGGCATCCAGCAGCCCATCATCCACTAAACCCCCTGTCAAGCTCTCCCCAGCCCCCGGCCGCAGCCGTCATTGGCCCACCGTCAGCGAATTTCCCCTGGGCGACGTTTGGTCCCTTTATTGCTTCTTTTCTTGTTCGCTCTCTCCTTTGCCTGTCAACGACTCGAGCAATTCTCTTGCCCGCTGCCGCTCGACGATCAATTACTACGAGATCGAGGCCGATACCGTACACGACGACGATTTGACAGACGCCACTGCCTTCAATCCTCCGTTTTCTCCTAGCGCTCCCGATTTGAGTCTAGCAACAGCTGCGACGCGCAGTTGTCGCATTCCTTCGTTCTCTTTCCCTGCGTCTGTCTTCCGCCAACACCGGCTCCGTGCACAGGCAATTAGCGCCCAGCCTCACTCCCCAGAACGTAGCCAACAAGTCGACGACTGCTTCGGTCTCAATCTCGACCTCGATCTCCACCTCACTCACGTCAACGTGGGAAGGACCTCGCCATTTCTAGCGAGCGCGGTCGTCCTGGCGGCCGTGCCGACAACCTGTTTCCAACGGATCCCCATTTCGCCCGACCGTCTCCCTCCAACCCCATACCGGCCGCCGTAGATGCCCACGGCAATCCTCCAATACTGAGCCTCGAACCCCCAAGTTCCGCCTATCCCGGAACCGGCTCATCTTCTGGTCAAGCCGCTGTTGTTGCTGCTGCTGCCGCCTCGAATATCCAGCGCCAGCCAGCTCGACCCTTTGACGATTACCAAGCAACGACCTTGCATCCTTCGCCATTTCGACCTCAAAAGGCTGCTGGGGTTGCTAATCGTCCTCGTCGGTTATCAGCTGTCCGTCTCTGGAATCCTACAAATTCGACGCCTAGGCCTCATACCAAGCCCGAATCATCGCGTAAACGTCGTCCCTCGACCCCTCCACCACCATCAATTCCCCTTAAGCACCCGACATTCGATACCCGAGTACCGGCCGACCCCATAGGTTCTGGACCTAGTGATTATCCTCTTCTTACGCTTTCCGAACAGCATCAGATAAGGCATTCGTTGACGCCTCGTGCAAGCCTTCAGGTTGATAGGGCCGGCAGTAGTGATAGGCGCATAAGTCTACCGAATTCTGTGCGCGCTTCTTACGACGAGAAAGGGTCTCGCAGGGGTGCAGTGTCCGCCGAAGAACCTCGCCTTAGCAGGGACCTGTTTGCTCAGGAGACCGTGGTGGAAAATCTAATTGTCAAGATTGACAAGGGCAAAGGGAAGGCTGTGATGATGCCAGAGACCGACGATCCTATGCCTTCTTATGGCAAGGATCTGGAGCGTGGTCCTGAGATCATGGACCCGCGGATTTCTAACGTCTCGGCTGGAGATGGAATAGGATCCGCTCTATCGACGACAAATTCTTCTATTATGGGTGAAGATGTCGAGCCCGATGCAGCCGGTGAATGGGGTCCTCAGCACCCTTGCTATCCCCACCTCAACCCTCATGTCCCCGTTGACTCACCTGAATATGTCAACACGCGCATCATTCGAATACGCCGCGACTGGTTGATCAAGGGCGATCTTGCACCGACATTTTCCAACCTATACCCAGAGATTCTGGACCCTGCTGGTCTATCCGAGCAAGAATTCCGCCGAATTATCGAGAAGCTTAACGGCGAGTTGATTCCTGCGTTCGACCCTTACGGCTTGCGGAACATGATCGATACTCTCCTCGGACTCGTCACTGGTTGGGTGTGGGATGACGTTGGCCTCACTGGAATCAAATCTCGACTGAACCGTCTCGAAAAGTGGATTGAGCAATGGAATCTTGAGATGGAAAAAACCATTGGCACTGAAGATGGTGCTATTCCACCCAAGATCTTGCCTCTGCGGCAAACAGGCTACATGACTGTAAATTTGCTCTTTTTTCATCGTACTAGGGAGGTTACTAACGTATTGACAGCTCGACATCCAGATTCCTGATCCAGAGATTGCACCAGCTCCCAGCACCACGAACCCCAATGATTCCAGAACCGCCTTGCCTTTGGAGCCTCCATCCGCTGTTGTTTAAACAGATAAACTGTCACTTTGTGACACCTTTCTTCGACCGATTGACTGACCGACTCTTGGTCAATTCCCTTTGAACTTACTTTCTTTAATTCCTTGACGACGAACGAGACAGCTCCTCTGATGAACAGGACGTCTCTTAACGAGTTGCAACAAGCAGTCTATACCCTCAGACTTGCGGTTATTCCCTTTTATCCATTTTGATACCACTACACATCGCGCGGCGTTTTTTTTCCGGATTTGTTTGTCCTACATGAGAAGCCAGCTACTCATTTCTAAGGACTGGTTTGAGTGTTTCCATACTCATCTTGGAGAGATGATAGGTAGAAAAGCTGAGGCGATGTTGTCTAGACAAACCTGGATCAGATCCAGGACCTACCTCTTGCTTGGCATGACTCGCTCTGGGGATGAAGATGAGAGTGTTGTCTGCTTGGGAGGCAATTGTTTTAATTTGCGTAATTGTATCATCATGTACTTTGATATGATATAGATATCGGTCTAAATGCTACTAATGTAAACCAATTGCTTCCTACATGGTTTATTGGTGGATGGTGTAGTAACGACCTCGGATATCCGTTTCTGCCCGTCTTCCGAGGACAATTCAAAGTCCGCTCTCTTAACTATTTCGTGATGTCGGTAATAACGCGGGCGGTCTTGAAACTGCCAAGCTACCAGGACCCAACGACACTTTGACGAATGATACCACTACTGCCCATGTTGTTACAAGAAGCAATATTTGGTATATAACCGACCATCGGCACCGTACGTACTCTCGCACTTGATCTTTCCAAGGACCAAAAATGGCGGGAGAGCCGTCAAGACTGGAGAATGTCGATTGAGGAAAGGCAGAAGCCTCCAAAAGGAGCAACTGGCTGGTTTAAGAAAGTGCTCAATCTCATACTGGCACAATATCTGGTCATTGGCTTCGCTACTGCTTGTGTTTTTGGATATTTTTTCCCATGCAAGTTATGGTTCTCTCTCGCCACCAAGACAAGTGCTAATACCCTGTTCACAGCTGTTGCTCAGCATGGAGGCGTCATTCGTTCAGAGTATAGCATCCTATATGGCGCGGTCGCATTCATTTTTCTCGTTAGTGGGCTGCAGCTATCGCCAGGGAAGCTCCGAGAGAATGCGACAAATTGGAGATTACACATTCTGGTCCATGGGGTTAGCTTTGCCGTTATCCCGGCCATTGTGCTTGGTGAGTTGTGTCTCTGCCGTAAAATATTACAACCCGAGCTCATATCTCTAGCCATTGTTCATATCTCTATCGCAGCTGGGGCTCTCAGGTCTCAAACACCTTCGCCTCCGATCCTCATCGGCCTTCTTACCACTGCCTGTCTTCCAACCACTATTGCGTCTAATGTCGTAATGACACGGGCTTCGGGCGGAGACGAAGCCGCTGCCATTATCTCTGTCGTTATCGGCAACGTTGCTGGCTCGTTTCTATCTCCTCTGCTCACATACGGATTCTTTCCAGCTGGGCATCCTGAAGCATTCGACAGCTGGCGCCCTGCTGATCCGTCCACCCTAGGACATATGTATGCAGATGTAGCCAAGCAGCTATGTCTCAGTGTAGTCTTGCCCCTTATTGTTGGTCAAGCTGTACGTTGGAGGTGGGAGGATCGCACCGTCAAAGTCCTCAATGCTCTCAAACTGGCCAAGGTCTCAACACTGTGCCTTGTTCTGCTCGTATGGACGACCTTTTCTGGAGCTTTCGGCACCGGAGCATTGAAAGACTTATCCTCAAGCAACGTCCTCTTTCTTGTCTTTATGAACGTTGCGTTATATGCTCTGTTCACAATCATCTGCTTCTTTCTCGCCAGACCACCCGGGCGCCTTGTTGGAACAGTGTCTTCATCCTGGCTAAGGCATGTCTTCAAGCGCATGTCTAAAGAGCAGACAATCGCCGTGTGCTTTTGCGGGGCGGCCAAAACAACGAGTTTGGGTATACCGCTAGCAAGTTCAATGTGGGCGCGTGCGGATGATATAACAAGGGCCTATATACAGATACCTGTACTGCTGTACACCATCGAGCAGGTGTTCATGGCTCAGGGGCTAGTATACGTCTTTCGCTGCTACATGCGGAGAGGAAATAAGGAACGTGGTACCGAGGAAGTAGAGCAGGGTACTACCCGAGAACAATGTTCCATCGAAGTACAAATGCAACCTGATGAACCCTCGAGGCAGGCCATTGATGAGGATGTGGAACAGAAAGGGCAGCGATGTCAGTAAGGAAATTCAAATGTGCTAATTTGGTGTAACGTTAGCCAAAGCTACAAAAAACAGAATACCACAATGCGTACAGAGAGTAGGTAAACCAACTCCAAGGAAACACATTCTATACGGGAAGGGAATAAGTCGCACGTTTTCATTCATCTTCTATTTTCCAATTCGATTGCAATAAATTTATCGGAGTATCATTTTCGGGAAACCGTAATAATAATCATGATCTTCTTCGATTCGATCATTCTCAGGTCTGTCCGGCCTTGACACCATTCCCATTTACAACATGCTCCTCCTGCTTGATGAGACTATCAAATAAGGGCTTTAGATGTTGAGCGCTCTTCTTGGGGTAACGCTTCTGGTCATTCTCGTAGTCGACAAAAGTTACGCCGAATCGAGTCTCGTAACCCTCAGCCCACTCAAAGTTGTCCAGCAAAGACCAGGCAAAGTAGCCATGGACATCCACACCATCGAGTCTAGAAGCATCGGCCATCGCTCTCACGTAATCGTCATAGTACTTGACGCGGAAATCATCTTGCAGGATCTTCTCTCGCGGCATGTCATTCTCACCCTTGATGCTGGTGCCGTTCTCGGTAACATAGATTCTAGGGAAGCCATAACGCTTGGAAATCCAGACAAGTAGATCACGGAAGCCTAGGGCACATGGTCGCAACCAAGTAGACTGGGTCTCCTCGCCAATACAATCACCGCGATGGTTCCAGAAGTGCAGCTCAAGATTACCAACATAGTCTTCAGGAGCAGCGTCTCCCTCCCGATGCTTGACATAGTTGGCAGTGTAGTGGTTCATGCCATAGAAGTCATTGGACCCCAAAACAAGAGCCTTTTCCTCGGGGGTAAAGGTGGGAAGGCGGTCACCGAGCTGGGCGCGCATTGAGGCTGGGTAATCTCCGAAGTAGATAGGGTCAGCGAACCACGAGATAGCAAACTCGATCTTGCGTTCGGCAGCCTCAACGTCTCTCGGGTCCTTGGGGTCCCACGGGTATGTGGCGTCGCCATTGAGGGTGATACCAATCTCACCGCCATTCTTGGGTTTGAATTCCTCACGGTAAATCTTAACAGCACGGCCGTGGGCAACAAGAAGGTTGTGACCAACGATCCAAGGCTCAGTAGAAGAGTCGCCAACATCGGATTTCTTGCGGTCAGAACAGCGACCGGGTGCGTTAGACCCTGTGCTGTAACCCAGAATGGCTGAGCACCAGGGCTCATTGTGAGTGATCCAATTCTTGCAGCGAGGGATAGACTCGAAAACAACACGAGCATATCGCTCATAGTCAAGAGGAAACTCCTCTCGGTTCAGGAGACCACCGTAGCGGCGGTCTAACTCATCGGGTACATCCCAATGGAAAAGAGTAATGAAGGGCGTAATTCCAGCTTCCAGGAGATCATCAACAAACTTGCGATAATGGTCAATTCCGGCCTGGTTGACGGGATCGTTTCGTCCACCGAGAGGAATGATCCGAGACCAGCAGAGGGAGAATCGGTAAGCCTTAGCGCCAACTGATTTCAGAAGAGCAATATCCTCAGCAGTACGGTTGTAAGAATCACAGGCGGTCACACCAGAACTGCCGTCTGCGATCTTGCCAGGCTTAGCGCAAAAGGTATCCCAGTTAGCAGGGCCACGACCATCCTTATCGATAGCACCTTCAATCTGATACCTATCTTGATGGTCAATTATCATCACTCGGTGATAGTGGGAGTTGGGATTACTTACGATGCGGTGGCGAAGCCCCATTGGAAGTCCTTGGGGAGAGACATTGTGAATCAGGCTGACTACCAGCCCTTCAAGTGCGGACTGATCTGAGTCGTGGTTCGAGAGAGCTAGTTATCAGGCCAGCTGAAACGAAAGAAACAAGAGTTGAAGGCCACAGATTACAGGTGAGTGGAGGAGGAGGATGTTGGATTGGAAGAGAGGAAGGAGAAGATCATGTTTCCCTAGCATCACAGGACACTCTTATATACCCCAACCTAGAACATGGGTTGTCGCTTTTCGTTCCACTCATAGCTTAGACTCTCTCCTCTCGTGTCAGCTACAATGCACGGTGAAACTGATGAATGCTTTGGGTAGGTAAGTAGAAGGGATATGCCTCTCAATGACCGTGTTTGTACTTCGGACCGTCATATCCGCGGCTGGATCATCTGCCCCAAAAGCTGGGGTGGGGTTGACAAAAGCTGTTCTTTCACGACACGAAAAGACACGAACGCCAAGGTAGGGTACCTTCCTCAGTCGAATTGGTAGGTTTATCACGCACAGCAACTGCCAGGGATCCATTGCTCAGGGCCATGCGTGTCTGCGCCTGCAGCTTGCTGATGCCCTGGATGTCTCCCTCAACCTCCCTGGCACACACCACTCTTAAAAGGTAAAAGGCAACCCCAGCCAATGCGGTTGCCCCATGGGGGATTGGTTTCAGGACCCTTCCAGATTGTCTTGCTGTTTACTTCCTCCCGTCCTTTTACTCCTCTTCTTTTTTCCCTCCTCTTCTTCTCCTTTTTCCTCATCTCATTATAATTTTCCGGAAACTCACAATTGCCCAATTCTCGACAAAAGGTCTGGTAAAACAACATTTCTTGGACACTTAGCTCTTTTTGTCCAACCTGGACCTCCGTTTTCGTCAGACGATTCCCGCTCATATGTGCCTACTCGAGCCTTCGGCCCGCCTCTCCGGCGCCACGACAGCCCGCTATCGCCAGAACTTCGGCACGCTCTGTAATGACCGCTACAAACTTCGCCTCACCGGATGAATCAAATTTTAGTTGATTCCCGAGATCTTATGCTCTGCACGTGGTGTCTCGGCCTCGACATCCAAGGGTCCTCCCACCCATTGTTTACTATTGTTTAGGCTGCATTGTGTTTCGGATGCTGTGCTGTAACTGTGATCCTCGTTGCTTCTCTAGTTTGCATGTGCCCGCCCTCTCGCCCTCTCCCGGTTCCTGTTCCCACTCTATCAAACGGTCCGGACTGCATTGCCCCGAATTTCCCGGGCTGTCATGGCTACTAGGCCCGAAACACCAGTCAAAGGTACTAACGGAACGGTCCAGATATCCGGTCTCCCCATGCGGCTCAATAACAGATTTCGTCCTTTCGCTATCACGATATATCCATGCATATCTGCTTATCTGTTTATGTTAAACAAAACCACTGTGCCAAAAGCCCTACAAAATGTAAGGACCCTACACTAAGGGGCCTAAGGCAACAGGGCTTATATTTTGTACAACAGTTTATCCTTTGGTTTCCTTAAACTGGAAGCTTCTCCTAATTCATCAGCATACAAGGATAATGGCTCCGATATTCATTCACATGACAACGCAGTTTCAGAAAGCATGGTAGTACAATCTTTTCACAAACTATCTAATATGACGACCGAGATTGAGCCAACATGTCATCCAAGTGCCATGTGGTTGTTGAAATCGCTGCGAATATGCATTTGTCAACGCCTCTCGTCGTCGTAATTTTAGCAGGGGCCGCTCATCATTATTCCATCCGTCGTCAGCTTTCTCGATGTTACACAAGGCACAACTGAGCCCAGTTCAGTCAGCAGTACTTCCTAATTTCCCACAGCACCTGCCTCCAAGTCGTCCCTGTCCTGTAGCTTTCGCTTTCCGGGGTTCGACATCTCCACATCTTTATCTTCTTCCGTCGGGGCCGTTGATTCGTCGCCGTTGGAATATTCGACAATCTCCCATTCGACCTTGACTTGGCCATCATGAGATTGTTTGACACCTTGGCTTCGGCGCATATTACCTAGGCGCGTTCCTTCGACCATGCCATCAAACCACGGAACTCCATACGACTGGCGCAATGCAGTGTTCCTACCAACCACTGCCGGGGACTGGCCTGCCGAGGCTTTGTCATCTTCCTCTTCTGGGATCAGTCCCATGTCTTCCAGATCTCGCAGGTCCTCCCTCAGCAAGCTTCCGAGTGTCAGGTTGATGAACTCGGCCTCGGTATGCGGGTTTTCGGACCAGTAGGACAGTGGTGTGCCACAGTAGCCGCAGAAGTGACGTTTTGAGTATTGTTGGCTAGGGTGTGTATAAACTCGTCGAATTAATGCGTGTGTCTCGTCCGGAAAGAAAGAGTACGTGGTACTATGATACCATGAAAGCGGAACTCGGATGTAGGCGGCCAGTGGAGTTGCAAGAGGTATCTCTGTTGGCAGATGTCAGATCATATGCTTGATACTCACGGGTGTGTCTCTGAAGGACATCTCCGACTTACGATGTGCAGACTCGGTGTTGAAGAGAACCTGTGCCTCATTGATGCCATGCTGAGGAACAGCAATTATATAACGGTTGCGTCCGCATTGGCAGCCGCCGCGCAACGGCCTCAGAGTGCTCATGGTTGACAGAGAGATCACCCGTTGACTCTGTAAAGTGTGTATCAGTTAAGTCTTTCAAGACAGGAAGCACGAATGTTTATGTTTGGAGGGAGGGGAAAGTTTAGGTGATGAAGTCGAAGTGGTTGTAGTGAAGGGATGGAATTTGTTTGGTGATCAGCAGTTCCCGCCCACCTTCTCACCTCACGTCTGAACGCTGCCCAAACACGGGAAGAGCTCCAGGTGGCAGGCAGGACCCAGTAGGTGGGCAGGCAGTGACGACATATTCCAGTGAGTTCCCGCTAAACGTAGAGTTTCCACGACTCTCTAGCGCTTCGTGGGGGTTTCTAGAATTATGCCAGCCCCACTGGACAGCTGAATGCCCCTCTTTTGACGAACGGACGAGTTGTTGGCGAGATGGGCGTCGGTCTACCCTATAAACTATGAACAGTTGAGTATACCTGTGTTCAGAAAAAGGTTTAGGCCCTGATCTAATCGATTTATCCGTTACAGTTGATCTGTTGTAAAGTAAGGCTATTCCTAAAAAGGTTAACTTTTAGTAAGGAATATAATAAATAAGGGATTTTTAATCTAGTTAGTAGTTATATAATATACCTTCTTACTATAAGCCTTATAAGGTTAGGTTACTATAGCTACTAACTTAATTTATATATATTT